GTGTGCGGCTCCCCGCGGGCCATGCAGTGCCTGGACTGTCCCCCGGCACACGAGTCTCACCACTGAGTCCCTCATCTTCCCCGGGAGAGGGTCCTCCGCCAGCTCCTCCGGGTCCGCGCGGGAGCGTTTAGGGAACCATCTGCGCTGAACGAAGGCCCTGGAAGTGGGAGGACACGCGTTTGACTGTTGGGAACGTGGCCGTGGCCGAGGCGGAGACCTCAACGCGGACCCCACACTCACTGAGACGACACGAGGCTCTCTCCTGCCCCGTAAGGAAGAGGGCCTGCATTAGAGGCAGGCGCTTCTCAGATGCTCGCCCACGGGAAAGGCCGGGCAGGCTTGGGCTGCGGGCTCCCCGCTCCCTTCTCACCTCCCCCACTGTGCACCCCGGTCCCACCCCTGCACCCATCCTCATCCCTGCACCTCTTTCCCACCCCTGTACCCCTACACCCTCCCGCACCCTGCACCCCTCCCCCACCCTTGTGCCCCATATCCCCTGCACCCCTGTATCTCTGCATCGTGTGCTTGTGAGCTTTACTCGGGAGCACAGAGGCACTGGGATGTGTGCTGGCCGCTCAGGGGTTTCTGGTCAACCTGCAATTCCCCCACCCTTACTCACAGGAGCACGGACGGGTCGCTGCTCTGCCGGCTCAGGTGGAAGGACAGCGAGACCAGGAGGCCGCAGAAGGCGGAGAACAGCGCGGGGATGTGCTGGGTGCTCCAGGGCTCCTGGGGGGAGACCGCAGGGCCCGTGTGTGAGCTGCTCATGGGGCTCAGAACCAAATTCACGAGTGGGCGGGTCACGCGTGCCCACATGATAGGTGTGACTCTCCGATAGGCCGGCAAAGCCAGCGCCGCCCTGGGCAGAGAGCCATTTCACTGCGCCAGCCTCACTTTCTTAGAAATGAAAACGCATCTCCTGCCTGGCCGGTGTGGCTCAGTGGTTGAGCACTGGCCTATGAACCAGGAGGTCAGGGTTCGATTCCCGGTCAGGGCACATGTTCAAGTTGTGGGATTGATCCCCATGTGGGGCATGCAGTAGGAGCTGATCAATGATCCCCTCTCATCCTTGATG